GAGAGAAGTAAAATTTCACTTTCATGGAACACTGTCATTCTGACTGCTAGACATCTGATATTTGTGTCTGAAAGTTACTTCTTGGCATGATCTACACATCTTTGTATAAAGTTAATTTTTGAAATGGATTGATTCCTTCCTTTCTTTGACAGATTCTCACATTTTTTGTATCAAGATGGAAAAGTAGAAGGCTGAAAACTTTCATGCTCAAAAATTAATCTCTTCTAAAAATATACCCTTACAATTTAAACAAGATTCCTATGGCTGGGATTTAACCAAATAATTGAATGAATGCTATTTACGTACTGTCATCGATGACATGGGTGGATTCAACACATTTCATAACAAAAAGTCGTAATTATGAATGAATTGATTGTTTTTTCATAATGTTATCCAAATTTGCTACTTAAGAGCCGATAAGGCAAGTGTCTCACGGCGAAACATCGAATGTCTAGCGGTGAGGATGACAGTGTTCGATATAAGTGCAAAATTCACTTTTTTCATTATTTACATTGTGTAGCAATCCTGTGAATAATATCTGATACAATTGCATAACAAATATTTGGAATACAAACGGAATAGAGTAAAGTGTTTTTCGTATAATTCAGCGTTCATTTAAAAGTATAGGTTATGTGTGTTTAGTGTAAAAGTGCGATTTCAGTATATTCGAACAATATTCCAAAGGGTTGTTTGATTGTTAAAACAATCAATTTTTCGACTTTATTTGCTGAAGGAAAAATCAGTGGAGGACCTCTTAGTTCGTCACTGCAAATTCGCTAACGTAGCGGGTTTGTAAAGTGTTATTGAACTCGACAAGGGTGGACGAAAGTTGAATACCAAAATCCACAGTGTATATTCCTTTGTGCACTGTGATCCACACTGCACTGAAAAACCGAAACCTTTTTGAATTTTTTTACCAGTTCAAGAATTTCACAAAGTATCTTTAACGTTATTTCTGACGTGGCACAACAAATTATTGACAATATTCACACAGAACAAAATATTGAAAATAGTTACTTGAAACCTGCATATAGTGGTCGTCTCTCGGCTGTATGGTTTTCAGCTGGCCTGAATCTTTAAGAGGTCAGTCCTCGTGGTGCTTAGACTAGCTTTCTTTGGACTTACTATCTAGAATGAGACTTAAAGATTCAAACTGTTTCGTAATCAATAATTTTGGATACAAAACAGACATTGTTTTATTTCTCTCTCATTTTCAAAATCTGTACACGCCCTTTTTTAGTTCTTTTCAACTCACCTTCGTAAAATATCTATAAATTGAATTATGTTGATACCCCTTCGCACGCAACATTCGGCTTTGGAGAACCAAGCCTCATTGCAGTAAATATCAATCGTTTGATGGGGATCTATTCGCGTGTTTGTGTCATGGACTGTCGGAGTTAATTTTGCGAGTTCTTTCAGTTTCACTGTCTCCCAAATGATTCAATGGTAACTCGATTAATTGAACCAACCCTATTCTTCATGTTTCAATTCTTAGCTACTGATTCGTCAAATGGAAAACTGTATCATAACTGACGATGGAAAGATAAAAGGGGAGTCACCCTAATGTATAATGTATCAGGGAAACAACAGAAAATATAGTTGTCGAATGATATTCCATAGGAACGTGTTAGGAATCACATGTTGAAAGGTAAGACCACCTCGGTCCTGGCACAAGTTTCGACTTCTGAGGGTTGTCGTTCGTAGGGGATAGCTGGTCAACGGTTTGAACATAACAAGTAAAAATATTGTGAAATTATATTTCAATACGATTGATAATATGGCAATCTCAAGATATATGATATGCAAGATATATGCATATCTCTTTCTTTTGGCTCGAATGCCAATAAAACCTTTCATTCATTATTACAATGCAAAGATACATGTTCATTCGATTTTTTCAAAAAATGTAAAATTCTCAAATAACGTTTCACAGATTTTACGTCACATGAAAACGATTTCTCAGACATTATTGGCGTCACTAGCCAGCTGCGTCGTTATTCACCATACCAAGAAGTGGTTCATAAAACTGGTGTCAGTATTTCCATATTCGAAAGGAAATGTGGGATCAATTTTTTGTTGATTCAGTTTTTCAATCTCAATTATCAGTCATACCATTCTGATATTCAACGTGGCATATTTTCTTTGAGTTGTTATGTAGCTAAATATATTCATTCAACTGGCAACAAAGTGTTGAATCAAGAGAAGCATCTGTCTAAGTACATAACGTCAAAAGGCCCGAAAAGGATTCGTCAAAGCTCAGTCGGACAATTGATGGATGAAGCCGTTACATGGTCGGAGATCATGAAAAATGAGAATCGAAACTTCCTATATTATTAGTTACAAATGAATGTGGTGATGAATATAGAAAGTTTTGATTGCCATTTTTCATGATTATCTCATCGTTGTTTAAAAACGAAAGGCAAACATTTGGTATGGACAGCCTGCTGCAAAACAACACTTCTGAAGGTCGAAAGTGAAATCTGTAGTGACCGTTTCTTATACCATTTGATCCAGATTTGCTACTCATACTGACAACCAATGCCCATCCTTCAGATGTTGCTGCGGTCCAAGCCACATCATTGAAGACACTGAACGATCAATTTCTTTTGCTCCTCGCTTCCAACACAGACGGAAAAAATAGTCAGCTTGATCGTGGCTCCATCTATAGTTTTTGGCCTTATTCGTTCCTATAATTATCGAATCGGACTCATCATTGATAATAAGCCGTTATCCAGAATATTCCGTCATCATAAACCACAGATGACATCAGCACATTTGCTTCGTCATGTATGTTCCTTCCAGGTTTCAATAACTCTTTTTTTCTAATTCACAGATGTTCTTGGCAGTGATTGATATTAACGATGATTTGAACATCATGACGGAAATTGTTAGTGCCCATAATCTTCACTGAATTATAACAATACTGTTGTATCTCAAATTGAAATAAGGACGTATTACACAGGTCAACAGTGTTTTTGTCACATGAACTTTGTGATGTGTTTTGTTTATGTTGGCCTACCCCCAATATAAATATATAATAATTTTGTTTCACTCACATCCAGTTTTTTTGTGACAGCTATATATTCATTTCTGACCTAGTATACGTCATTTAGGCGGTTGTATAGCTATTGCAACAGCTGACATTCATTTTATTTTCGTTAGGTACATCGCAAATATGCACCGAAAGTGTTCTACTAACCCTGACGGTTTTGTTATGTGTGTGAAGAATCAGCTTTTACATTCCATCATCGAAATTTCACCCCAATAATTGAACAGTGCTTGCAAGAATATTTTGGATTCACTGTGCAGCATCAAGATATATTCTGGGCCCCAGATAAATGTTGTGTAACGTGCGTGAGACTCCTATTAGGTTGGGCTTTTATTTGAGTCAAACAAAAATAAAAAGATAGTGACCCAAGTCATGAACCGATAACTTCAAAAGGACCGCACTTTTGACACAAAGTGATTTAAACGATTTAGTACGTGATTTGAATTTGTCTAAATAAACAGGCTGAGCTTTTGGGGTCTAGATTAAAAGACTGGAACTCACTTTCTCCTGATACAAAAGTTTCTTAATTTCGACATTGTAACGATGAAATAAAACCTTACTTTCCAAAAGTCCATTGTAATAATATTCATGTTGTGATGAATTTATTGAATTTTGAATATGATCCAAGTCATTGGCGACTGTTTATTGACTCCTCAAAAACTAGTTTGAAAGCAGTGTTGCTGCATAACAGAAACGAACTCCCTTCAGTGCCGGTTACTCATGGTTCTAATATGAATGAGACTTACGAAAATATGAGATTTCTTCTTGAAAAAATGAAATACAGTGAACACGCTTGGAAAATTTGTGGCGATTTAAAAGTTATTTATTATTCGCTTGGACTATATGTTGATTACACAAAATTTTGCTGTTTCATTTGCGAATAAGACAGCAGAGACAGAAAAAGTCACAAATAAAATGAAATGTAGCTCAAGCGTGAGTCACTTACTCCAGGCCGTAAAAATGTTAAAAATAAGCCTTCAGTGAACCCTGATGACATACTTTTACCACCGTTGCACTCGGTCTGATGAAAAAAATTTCGAAAGCTGTGCGCAAAGATGTCAGTGTATTTTCATACCTGAAAGAGAAATTCTCCAAACTCAGCGACGCGAAAATTGAAGGGAGAATATAGGCTAACAAATACGACAACTTATGAAGGATAAGAGCTCTGAATGAGAACTAAATGACCAGGAAAAAATCGCCTGGAAATATTTTGTGAGTGTTGTCCAAAATTTCCTAAGAAATTATAAAGCGGAAAACACAAAGACTCAATAGAGGAACTAATAATGTCAGATAAAGCTTTGGGGTGTAATGTGTCCTAAAAAATACGTATAATTGACTCTCATCTAGATTTGGGTGCTGTGAGTGATGAACAAGGGAAGAGATTCCATCAGGACATTTACTTAATAGAGAAGCGTTATCAATGGAAATGGAGCCCAGGAATGCTAGCAGATTATTGTTGGAAACTCAGGAGGGACCTACCAGAAGACAAATATTCACGAAAATCATAAATATTTATTGTATGTAAGTAATAATTTCTCTGAGTATAGTTGATTTTTATAATTTTCACCAAAATATATGCTTTGATGTCAAGACAAAAACCTGTTGTGTCCATTTTTTTCATTGATACAATATTGGTTAGTGATCCTAGTAAATTCAAAGTTTGATATAAGTTTTCATGTGATAAAAACAGTTCAAATTTTGTTGACCAGTGTTATTATTATCTCAAATCATTTCAATTAATGTCAGGATGACACATGAGAATTGTATTCTACATCTCTTTAAACATAACATTATTTTTTTAAGGTTTAAGTGTTTTGATACACTAAACACCAAGATTTCAACATATCACAAATAAATATCAGAATGATTCAATTCATCTCATCGCGTCCTTCATTTAAAAAATCGTGACACAAATTCATAATCATGCAACGTGACAATTATGTTAACTCACTGCTGTCGTTTTCCGCTTCTCTCGTTTCTTCAGAAGAATATTCCGCTTCAACATCGCTTTCAGTTGGGAAAAGTATACGGAATGTTGTTTACCACTCATTATTGCAGAGCTCGTTTTCGATTCCAAACGAACAATGAAGGAGAATTATCTGAAACAGAAAAAAGTGAAACCGACTTTTCCGGAACAAGAGATGAATAGAGGATGATGGTTCATGCGTACTTAATTGTATTTCAACAATCACATAGTCGTTCACTGAAACTATGTAATTGGTTTATTTATTCGAAATGAATGTGTGGGATCACATCACATTCAGTATATCATATATATTTTGTGTGGAATATTATATTGGTTCTGGATAACCAAAATCATAAGATAAATTTCTGGGAAGTCTCAGAAAAATTGTTGCTAGATGCAGCTTAGTACCCGTCGAGGTATAACATAAACATTTGTTTGAAGGTGATTGACAATGTTTCATGATGAATTTCACTAGTTCAGACTTCCATTGTCTACTATACAGGCTGATTCACGGTGGATGGCACATTAGACGTTTCTGGTGAACCAGACAACGGATCACTTTGAAAATTTAATGGAGGGCATATTCGGACATTCTCTAGCCAACTAAAATATTTTCGACAATGCGGTGTTGCCGCTTCTATTAGAAAGCAGTAGCAACTTTGATTTNGAAGGAATATCACATACTCACATCCATGCTCAATCCTTAGAGAGATGGGATGGAATCAAAGGATGCAATCTTGCCAGGATCAATTTGAGCGATCCTGGGAAGCTGGCGCCGAAGAAATATCTGGCGATGATCAGGAAAAATCCACGCTTAACAGTAGGATTTCTGGTCTATTCACTGTCAACTAAGGAAACACCTGCATAATATGAGGTTAATGGACACACCTCTTTGCAGGATGTGTGACAGGAAGATGAGACTCTCAGGCATGTCCTATGCGAGTGCCCGGGGTTATCGTCAATAAAAGAGTGTGTGTTCGGCGAGTCTTGGCCTACACCTGCCGATATAAAGGAGATGTCTCCCAGCGACCTGTCCACCTTCCTGGAAAGGACAAGATGGACGACGACCTAGGAGGACAACTCCTCGGGAGGATGTACAATGGGTCACATGTGGCTTAAGTGCTGTGGGCTCACACTCACACTCCCTACTTTACAGATACAGATATCCACTACAAAATATTTTGTTGATGCAAGGAAAATTAAATCGTGACTTCCAACTATTTCTTCAAGCATATGTTCAATGTATCAAACAAAAATCTTTGATTGAAACAATCACATCGATTAGTTATTTCAATTTAAAGAAGAATTGAATTCAAATAATATTTTGTCTAATTGATAGCGAGAATGATTTAGAGTAATTCGAATATTCTATCACCAAATTCAAAGATGGGTGAAATAGTGGAACTGAATGAAGTAATAAAATGTATTTTATATTTGAGTAAAAGTTATGTTGAAGAAACATAACATATCTGCAGGATGAAGTAATGATTTTGTTGAACAAATAATGAAGAGTAGTTGAATGAACCATGTTTATAACTCGATGTGAGTATCTTGCCTTTAGAGTAAAGCATTTCAAGAGTTCAAAATAAGTATGAATAACGATGAACCAAATGAAATGAAGTTTCAAATCAAAATCCTTCTCTATTGCTTGGATTTGGTTATTGGATTCAATCAACCAAATATTACACTAATTTGAGTACCAGCATCTATAGTCTATTTCAAAAAAGTGTAGAGTAATAAATCATGAAGTGTCATAAAATTTGCCTGAATTTCGTTGTCGTCCATGGGCGTAGGCAAATCTTAGGATTATTAAACTTAATAATTAAAGTAAATTAAAAATTACAGACATAGATAATAATAAAAGGCCATTTTTGGGAAGTAATTTGGTCTAAAACTAAGTACCTACATGTATTTAGGTAAGTAAAATTTCTTAAAAAAAGATTAAGATTAATTTTAGTGGTTCTTGTAAACTTATNTTATTGTTTCATTGTGTTTTCTCCATGATACATTTTCATCTAGAATAAGACTAACAAATTCAGCACTAGGAGAGTATTTAATATTTTCATTATTGAATATAATTGGATCTTTTTAATCAACTGTTATGTACCTTTTTGATATGAACATATGTGAAGATGTCTGAAAATTCAGTGTCATTTTATGGCATTGACGCCATAAAGATATTTGATCAAGGTTATTTGAAATATTAATTTTGATTTCTTGTACACTATTTCCATTGTCAATTAAACTGATCATTCTTGCCTTTTTCTAGCATTAGACATTTTTTGCCAAATAAATATGTTTCTAAAACAACTCACCTTGCAATTCAAAAAATCGAAAAGTTGCACCAGCATTCAAAATATCACACATATTGAACCTATTCCTAACAAAGAGCGTTATCGAACATCCTACGAGTACTTATTATTTATTTAATAGTCCTACTTCCGTTCTCTCTATGGTTTCACACAACAACAGATTTTATATAATTCATGTTGAATAAATTCGTATCAATTATATTCATTATTCATAATATTTATGCATCAAGCATGAGCATGTCAACAACAAAAAATCTGTCTGAGGTGTTGTATTTTTTATAACTGACAGAAGTCAAGTATAGTCACAAGTTGAAATTCGTATTCATATGAGACGAACCTTCTAAAAATGTCAATTGTTATTAACAATAAAATGTTTATACCAAATTTTCAGAAAGTTATAAAACTGTTAACTAAATCCGAAATAGAAAGAAACACAGATATACAGTGACACAAGGAAATACAGAGGATCTGATATACATGAAAGACCTAACTAGAACAATAAAACACTTTAAAAATGGTAAAGCCCCTAAAAACGACAAAATCACAGCGGAAGTGCTAAAATGCTTGGGACAAAAAGGCAACGAAATATCTGAAGGATCATTTGCAGACGATATAGGGATCATAGCAGATAGTGCAGACAAATTACAAAAAAATTGTATACATGGAATGAAGTATTGATGGATTACGGAATGACGATGAATAAAAATAAAACACAGGTAATATAAATAGGCAAAAATAGAAAAGAGATGCGAATAGAAATAGAACGAACAAGAATTGAACAAGTAACATTGTACAAATATTTTGAAGTTATATCAGTTTAGAAGGGAACACAAGATGCAGATATTAACAACAGGATCGTAAACACTTTAAAACTTTATAAAGCCATGAATAGAAAATGTATTAACAGAAAAGAGATAACACGCAAAACTGAACTAAAAATGAAAGGAATTACGAAGATCGGTAGGATAAGNTATCAAAAAATATACACTTTTCACCCAAATATTAAATTTTGCAAATACAAAATCAACTGAAGAGGGCTCTGTATAATACTTTTTTGTGAACCGTAAAGTTCTAATATTTCAATTAATTGAATTTTAATTTTGATTTACTATTATTTTACGTGAAAAAATTGATACATCAGAAGCTAGGAAGCTAGGAACACGATATTTTTTCTAAATCTGGAATTCCAAATATAGTTGTTATAAGAACTTTGCTTGGGGATGGAAAGTGATTCAGAATGATTTCCATTTTATAATAAGAAAGATTATTTCCATAGGAAGGAAAGGAGTCTTCTGAAAATTGACGGGAATGAAAGAACAGACAACTTTCAACCTTGCATACTGTCCTTCAGATAACACTTGAATCAAACTATCTACTCACGTTTGGTTCACTGAGACACAAATAAACAAACTAATGAACTCATGACCCCTCGTAAAACAAACTTCATCGCTAATACAAAACAAACTCGAGACATACAACCTTTCCAACATGATGAATATAGTTAACTGATAAACTCGTAGGAACAGCGATTGTGTTTCGCCGTTTTTTGTAATGTAAAAATGTGTATATACTTGATAAGAATACAAACTATAGTGAACCAACAGTATATTTCAAACTAGGGTGATGCAAAAAGACTATGAACATACAAACAAAAGATTTCTCAATATTACGATTATAGTAGTTGATCCTTACATGCACGAAATGATTTACGGCTTTTTGTGAGGTCATGACGTCATTTATCATAACAGGTAATAAATAGTCATTCGAATCATTTTCAAAAATTACTCCGTATTCAAGTAATACTTCTTTGTGAACTCTCCTTTTCACAGATTAGAGTACTGAACACGCCTGCAGAAGCTATCATAAAACACGTGTCGCGGTTTTATAAACTGTTAAATGAAAAACCCCACAATAAAGTGTTACTTTGATACGTTATAATGGATTTCTATTGATTGATACAATTGCATAACAAATATTTGGAATACAAACGGAATAGAGTAAAGTGTTTTTCGTATAATTCAGCGTTCATTTAAAAGTATAGGTTATGTGTGTTTAGTGTAAAAGTGCGATTTCAGTATATTCGAACAATATTCCAAAGGGTTGTTTGATTGTTAAAACAATCAATTTTTCGACTTTATTTGCTGAAGGAAAAATCAGTGGAGGACCTCTTAGTTCGTCACTGCAAATTCGCTAACGTAGCGGGTTTGTAAAGTGTTATTGAACTCGACAAGGGTGGACGAAAGTTGAATACCAAAATCCACAGTGTATATTCCTTTGTGCACTGTGATCCACACTGCACTGAAAAACCGAAACCTTTTTGAATTTTTTTACCAGTTCAAGAATTTCACAAAGTATCTTTAACGTTATTTCTGACGTGGCACAACAAATTATTGACAATATTCACACAGAACAAAATATTGAAAATAGTTACTTGAAACCTGCATATAGTGGTCGTCTCTCGGCTGTATGGTTTTCAGCTGGCCTGAATCTTTAAGAGGTCAGTCCTCGTGGTGCTTAGACTAGCTTTCTTTGGACTTACTATCTAGAATGAGACTTAAAGATTCAAACTGTTTCGTAATCAATAATTTTGGATACAAAACAGACATTGTTTTATTTCTCTCTCATTTTCAAAATCTGTACACGCCCTTTTTTAGTTCTTTTCAACTCACCTTCGTAAAATATCTATAAATTGAATTATGTTGATACCCCTTCGCACGCAACATTCGGCTTTGGAGAACCAACCCTCATTGCAGTTAATATCAATCGTTTGATGGGGATCTATTCGCGTGTTTGTGTCATGGACTGTCGGAGTTAATTTTGCGAATTCTTTCAGTTTCACTGTCTCCCAAATGATTTACCGGTAACTCGATTAATTGAACCAACCCTATTCTTCATGTTTCAATTCTTAGCTACTGATTCGTCAAATGGAAAACTGTATCATAACTGACGATGGAAAGATAAAAGGGGAGTCACCCTAATGTATAATGTATCAGGGAAACAACAGAAAATATAGTTGTCAAATGATATTCTATAGGAACGTGTTAGGAATCACATGTTAAAAGGTAAGACCACGTCGGTCCTTTGGTGGCACGAGTTTCAACTTCTGAGGGTTGTCGTTCGTAGGGGTGTGATAGCTGTGTGATAGTCAACGGTTTGAACATAACAAGTAAAAATCTTGTGAAATTATATTTCAATACGATTGATAATATGGCAATATGGCTACTTCCATATCTCTTTCTTTTGGCTTGAATGCCAAAGATACATGTTCACTCGATTTTTTTCAAAATGTAAAATTCTTAGTTAACGTTTCACAGATTTTACGTCACATCAAAACGATTTCTCAGACGCATTTGGCGGCACTAGCCAAATGCGTCGTTATTCCCCATACCAAGAAGTGGTCCATAAAACTGGTGTTGTCCATATCCGAAAGAAAATGTGGGATCAATTTTTTGTTGATTCAGTTTTTCAATGCTGACAAAATATTACTACATGGTCGGAGATCATGAAAAATGAGAATTGAAACTTCCTATGTTAGTTACAAATGAAGATGGTAAAAAACATAGAAAGTTTCGATTGCCATTTTTCATGATTATCTCTTCGTTGTTTAAAGACGAAAGGCAAACATTTGGTATGGACAGCCTGCTACAAAACAGCACTCCTGAAGGTCGAAAGTGTAATCTGTAGTGACCGTTTATTATACCATTAGATCCAGATTTGCCACTCATACTCATATGTTGTTGTGGTCCAAGCCACATCATTGAAGACAGTGAACGATCAATTTCTTTTGCTTTCTTTTTCCTCGCTTCCAACACAGACGGAAAAAATAGTCAGCTTGATCGTGGCTCCATCTATAGTTTTTAGCCTCATTCATTCCTATAATTATCGAATCAGCCTCATCATTGATAATAAGCCGTTATGCAGAATATTCCATCATCATAAAGCACTTCCACAGATGGCATCAGCACATTTGCTTCGTCATGTACCGTTCCTCCCAGGTTTCAATAACTCTGTAAGATGTAAAAAAGGGAAAGAAATTCAAAACGTAGGTTGTTCATCAATTAACCCATTCAGCAGTCCACGACTTCAGCTGATGAAATTATTGGTGGGACATTTATATGCTGAAACAATTTTCCAGATCTCCAGAAATGAAACCATATTCATGACTTTCAAATACGAAAGATCTAGAGCTCAGTGAAATTTTATAGCAACTCCAGTCGAACCCCAAAGAATCTGATTATACCCTGATCGTCGGTATTGTTTTTTGACAAGATTCAATTTTCGTTACTGGTTCTGTGCGTCCAAAAATTCAAGAAGAGCTTCATCTGACTCATCTTGAAATCATTACGAAGAAGCAATTTGCTCGCTGTTATATATCCACTAACCGAATATTGATCGGACTGTTGAGAAGTTCGACAAGGAATGTGGAAATTGAGCCCCAATTCTATCTAATTCTAGAAAGTTCTAGTGCACCTCAACAGAATTAGAAAAGAAGTCATATCGGTCATGCAGGCTTATTCGAAAATGGATTTTATCTAGTAGTGATGAATGCAAAATTCAAGTAGGTAGAATAAAAAATAATTGAGAATGCACCTTCAACTCATTCTACAATATTACTGTTGGAAAATATTTTGTTGTATCAGACTATTCACTGCACCTGAACATCCAACTGAAATAGGTCTTGTAGAACGTAATGTTCAAACTCTGTAAAATGAATAGAAAGCTGGGCAGACAAAAATTCACTAATTAGAAATTTGGCACATAATATTATAATTCCCTATAGAGCAACGCTTGCGTACAATCACTACCTTCATGGGAGACTTAGATTGAATGCCGTTTTTCTATACAAACCACAACCAAATCAAATTTCTGCCTTTCTTTCCAAGTGGAGAAAACAGTTGTCTTTTTGGCCTAGTTGTATTGGATTGATGCGTCTTTGAAACGACACATCAAACGAAAACATTAAGAATCGAAAACAACGGCTAGCTTCAGGTCCATGCCAGTTCTTTGAAGATGCGAGAATTCCTGCAGCTATCCAAATCAAGCCAAGACTTAAAGATAATCAGACCCCTGAACCTATGAAAGAATTTTCAGAATGTCCATTGAGAGAACGTAAAGTACTAAGGCGTTTCGAGGGCTTTGATAAGAATTAAAGTAGATGGAAATGTTACATTTGGTTTCATTACTCAGCACATATTTCACAAATAAGTGGGATTAAAATATTGTGAGTGATAATCAGATTTCAACTGTTATAGTCATTGAAAAAGGTAGAATTTTGGTACCCCTCACTATTTTCGTTGAACACAAATGATACCCAACTATATTTTTATTTTTCTAATTCACAGATGTTCTTGGCAGTGATTGATATTAACGATGATTTGAACATCCTTAACAAACCTTGATGACGAATCTATCGACACAGGTGTTTTTGAACTCTGCATAGCGGACCATAAAGCTCAATATATTATAATTCATTAAAATTTCAAACCCAGTCAAACTGTTCATATACAAGGATATTCAAACAAATAGGTTTGAGAAAACTCAAAGAATAACTCTCAGAAATAAAGTGGGATTTTTTTCAGCACAATCAAGAGGTTAATGTATTAGCATCTCACACAACTGATGTCTATGCTACTCAAGTTTGCAAGTCATTTCCTCTGAGAAGAGTTGCAGCTCATAAACAAACATCCCCGTGTTGGTTTGACGATTCTCTTAAATATTTCAGAGAGTCATTGAAGAGTATCAAAGTTATCGCAGATAACAGTAAAGACCCTTCCGATATAAATGTGTACAAAAAACTCAAAAAAGAATGTCATCAACGGATAACACTGATTAGAAAACCGGTAATACGATGAATTTCTCTTCTGAAAATAGATCATCCGCATGTTGGGGGATCTCCCGAGGATTTCAACAATTTTTTTGTCGATATTGCGGATACCATCATCAAATCTTCACCTCAGATGGACATGGATTATTTAATTAATATCGAAGAATTTCCAGTACCTTGTAGCTCCTTTCTTCTCGGTCCCGTTACCGAACCGGATATTATGAGCGCGATTGATTGTTTGAAACCTTCAAACTGCGATGCCCAAAATTTGAAGGCTCGTATCATCAGGGAAACCCTACATGTTATAATTTCGCCTTTTACGAGACTGGTCAACCTCATATTTGAGATAGATGTTTTTCCTGACGCTTTCAAATATGCGAAAGTAATTCCAGTTTTCAAGAAGGGGGACCCATGTTCCCTAGACAATTACAGGCCCATATCTATCATCTCTAATTTTTCCAAAGTGATTGAAATAATAATGAAAAAGCGTCTGTTTAATTACTTCGAGAGCAACAACTTCTTTTCTCAGGCAATACAGGTTTCGCAAAAATCGTTCTACTTCTCTAGCTGTCTTTGATGTTGTTGGATCTATTGTTGAAGGATTTGAGAAGGGTGTGCACACTGCCATAACGCTTTTTGACTTGTCTAAGGCTTGTGATTATGTATCACACAGTATACTTCTTA